GTATCATACTCTAGTTTATGTACCACATCTACCCCCCTGTCTGCATCACTTCGACCCATTCACATGCATGTAGGTTAGCCAACCAAATAATGGAATGCCTCATTAGGACCGCAAGTATGATCTCAGCTGGCCACCTTTCTCGGTTTAGTATTTTTTCGGTTATTTTTCCCTGAATAATGGTTTCCGGTTCTGTCGATGTCCGTCACGTGATGGACGAAAGCTCAGCACTGAGTCATCGGGGTCGTAAAACGGTAAGCCGAGGTCTTCTTCGCACAATTCAACAGACAAAAGTCCAAGGAAACCCTCCTGCGATATCCGCTAAGACCAATCTACGAATCCCTTCGTACGCCAATATACGCTCCTCTACGCCTCCTCTTTTCATGACCATCTGAATTCCTCCGAGCGCCGAATTGGTTGGCATCATAATTTGACTGCATATCATCCCTTGGTAGTCCTAGCGGAGGTCAAGTGAATTTGGGTCTCTACATGTGTTGTCATATTATTCCGCGAGTATTTGCCATGAGCCAGACGTCAACAACATTTTGTGCATCAAACGTGTCTGTCACTTACTCGGCCAGCAGAAACACCGGCCTGCAGCTCCGTCACGGGCTCGACGCCCTCGACACCGGCCAGGAGGCTGGAGGTCCGTCTGTCCACCAGCCAGGCTGCGGATAGCGCCCCCGTGGCCAGAAGACCGGCTTGCAACAACACCTGCAGAGGGTTCAGTACCTCGTCCGAGTCGGGCTCGGGGGGACCACCATCACTGCTGCCACCTTCACCATCAACACTAGTCGTCAGGCCCACCTTGACGCCAGGTTGTGGGGCTTGAGAGATGTTGGTGTCTGACGGTGGAGGCCTTTTCGACGACTCCATACCCTAGGCTCAAGCAAAGGGATCCCACACTTGCTTTATTCCTACAGAAGGGATGTGCAGGTGGTGAACTTGAAGTATGGCCTTACTAGAAAGGCTGCTGAGTTCTAGTCACTCTGTTCGAGGCGGTCGTGACAGATAAAACATAGATCCTCTAATAGACGTGGTTGATATATCCAGAATAGTCAGGTCAAAAAAGACAGTTCTCAGGTACCGAAAAGCCTGCGTTAAAGGTGACCAGGCCGGTAGAGATCTCGGAGTTGGGAAACTGGGCTGTGGAGGTGTCAGGCGGCTGACTGGGAAGTGGACAATATCAAGGGATTGTCATTCCAACGCGGAATGCATGTGATTATTTCACAGCCCCCGCCTAGCAAACTGCAAGATCCAGCACAGAAAGACCCATTTGTATCATTCTAGGCCTAAAGCATCTTTGTCAAAGAGTTATAATTTCGTTAGTGTGTTTGCACATAGAGCTTAAATCCACTATTGTCATGCTGGAGGTAGGAGATGATTTATCGAATTTTCAATCTTCTACTAATAACACTGTCTTGGCTACAGGAGCCTAGAAACTGTGCCGAAATTCACCCTCTCGCCCTCTTTTCCTGAGGTATAGTGTAAACTAAGAAACTGTCGCCAACGCAAAGCACTGTTTTTGTATCAACGGTCTGCTATTAGCCCTCTAAAGGCTAAAAATCCGGCCAATTCTAGCTGGGCGGCTCGGGTAGCTAAGCGACACTATGATGACACAATCCATGCTGTATCTCATTAAGGCATCTTAGTTGAAGATGAGCGCGTTTGGTAGAGTTGGCTGTGCTTTATTCGCACTAGGGTTTGTCACGCCAGTGACTCATTCTACCCTAGGGGAACTGAATCGAACAAACATATTTACATTCAAATATATGTATGCATACACATACAGATAAATATGTGGAAAAACATTAATAATTCTAAGGCAAACCAACACTACAGGTGTATAAAATAATAACAATATATATTAATCGAGGATATGAAGACCAAAATGGTGTGGCCCCTGGTATGGTCGCTGTATCCCTTCGATTTATAGAAGTGGGTTGACCTCGCATTCTCAACTTGGTCTTGTTGTCAGAGCGACTTAGTAGAACGCACCTTGTTCGAAGTCCTCTGTCATAGTAGCTATCATAATTGCCACCATCAGACCGTTGACTTGGTACATTCTCAGCACCAAGCTACAACTCGTCAAAGAGACGAGGGGTGGACTTCACTTGACGAGTTGTAGCTTGGTGCTGAAAAAGGTACCAAGTCCGCGGTCTGATTCTGGGAATTATGATAGCTAACATGACAGAGGAGTTGGGACAAGGTCTTCCTGAGAAAAAGACCAAGTTGCGAATACGAGGTCAACCCACTTCAACAGATATTAAGCTGGAATTCATTGGTAGATTCGAACAAAATAAAATCTACAAAAGTTTAAGATCACACCTTTTATTCCTAAATTTTCCCGCATATTCGTATTTCACAATTGTTTAACATCTATCAGATTGACTTCATGACTAAGAATTGAACAACAGCACAAATATCTGAGCTGTGTTTACCATATTTCGTTTAAGGTGATGAAGGACTGGTAGCTAGATCCCTTCCTGATATGAGTAGAACTTTCGTTTCCATTTTATTTCGAATAACTTTGTCTTCCAAAAAAGTATTCTTATTCAGAGTCGACCCAACCTAGATCTTTTCAATATCCCCAGGGGGATCCAAACCATGACAGTACAGCGTTAATTTCGACACGTTGACCACTACGCCACACTGTCCAGAGTGTTCTTGGGTCAGAGGAAGGATATGCGTTTCCAGGACGGTCAGGCATTTTTTAATATCTCATTCTGTAGTGGGATTGTCGATGAAGCAAACTTATATTTGCTATAGCAATCACCTTAAAAGAAATATGACAAGCATAGCTTATATATCTGATCTACTGTAAGTCTTAAAAACCTACTTAAAATGAAATATAA